TAATAGAAAATAATAAAGTCATTTGCCACAAAACAAATACTGTATTGCGAAACAAGTGTTTATATCCATAAAATGTCATTTTGCTACAATTTTATTGCAAAAGTGCAAATAAAGTAAATTAGTATTTTAATTTTAAAATTTTAAAAACATAAAAATATAAATGTCTTTACAAGGCAGAATTTCCGTAAACAAGAATGATATGAACATGCTATGAAAAGAAGAAACAGTATACGGGCTGTTCAGTAACTGCATCAGACTACAGATTCTTCCAATGAAGAAGTCTGTGAAGTTTCTTCTATGAAAGAAACTTTTTTTGCCAAAATATTTGACATATTTGACAAAAGCATTAAAATAGCCCGATTAATTTACGGCATTCGGTTGGTGTCTTACTATATTGGATATCGGGTTTGGAGATGTTTATTTATATAAATGTCTCTCAATAATATAATATTCTTCTTAAAATTAGTCAAAAACTTATTATAAATTTCATTTTTATTATCACATTTAGATGTAATCTTGTTCAATGATCCAAGAGAGAATGTTTAAAGAATACTCTTCCTATAAGGCTGCGTACACACTAGGCATTTTTAAACGCACGTTAAACGTGCGTTTTAAAGAACCAAGAGTTCTACTAAAGCGCCCAAAAAACGTGCGTTTTAAAAAAAATCTATAAACGTGAGTTTGAGTGTGTACGCCTATGTAGAACTCTTGGTTCTTTAAAACGTGCGTTTAAAAACGCCTAGTGTGTACGCAGCCTAAATATCAACAACAAACATGTATAAAAATATATCTATTTTATAAAAATGCAATAGAAAATTTTTCTGTAATAATTAATTTATGTAATATATGCTATAATTTAAAAATGCAATAATTGCATTGTTGCTACAATGTAAATTTTTATTCCACAGACCACAGTAAAGGATTTTTGAGACTCAAAAGCACAAGTTATAGACAGGTCGAATCTTTAAATGTTCTTTAAAAAAAATTAGGTTGGTTAATATTAGCCAATAATGATGTTCTGTTATAAGCATTTCGACTTTCTTAAAATAGATATTCAAATCTTATTGCATTGCATGCATCATTAAAAACATTTCCTATAAATATGGATACATTTCTTTATAACATTAAAAATTCCGAGTAAGAATTTTATTATTACAAATATATTTATCTGACATGTGTTAAAATTACTTTTTGAATGAAATAGTTTATTTTAAGAAGTAAAAATTAATCTTAGACATTTTCATAAATTTAATTAATTAATAAGAATATAGACTAAATTTAAAAACACTGGTCCAAAAAGCGTATTTGTTTATTTGATAACTTATATGCATCAACAAACCCATCATCAAAAAATACAATTAAAACTAAATGAATGAAATAGTGACTTTTATAAACATCACTTTCTCGATATTTTCAAATTTAATAAAGCATCAAATTGAAATTTTACTTAAAATTTAATTAAAGACATTTGTTTTTGTCGATTCAAAGAACTTCAAAATAAATTTTCTATTACTTATATGAAACTGGTATTTTTACATAATATTTTTAAGAGATAACACACTTCAATGCTGAAAATTACTCTTTCCGAAAGGATTACAAAACTAAACCTAAGCATAAATGACAAATCCCTTTCAATATGGTATAAGTCATGGCCTCTGAGGCAACTGACAATAGTTAACAGTAAACTAACCAAAAACAACAATTAGAAAGAGAAAAAAATGATTTTAACCTGCAACTTAGGATAATCACCCTAATGTGGTTGGAGAGGTGGTTTTTTTCTAATCACACTTCACTTCTATCATACAAAAGTAACTGAATATTACATAATTTGTTAAATAAAAACTATAATAATATAAATAAATCTAATTCATATTAATAAAGAAAACATAATCATTGTCAAATTCAATTTTTCACACATAAATTGATAGGTGTGCGATCACAATATTCCCTGTAGGATTAATACAAATTATTTCCATATAACAGAGAGAAGTTACTCTTAACAATGAAAAGTTGCACTAAATGGAGAAAAGAAGTAAACAAATACACCTTTATGCTTGCTAATTGTATAATTTCAATAAAGTAATACTTAAAATATCCATTTACAATTATTAGATAATTCATAAAAGTAAGACAACATACTAAAAGATTACCGATAATATTAACTTCTAACAAATAATAACAGGAAAAAAGATAACATTAAGTAATAATTTGCTTAAATCAGTTAATTTGGAAAGAAAAATGTCATTTTATTTTAGCCGCGCAAAAATTATATCAAATAATTATCTTATATTTCATATTCCTTTCTTAAAAATAATAAATAGTGAAGCAACAAATACAAAGTGAAATGAATATAAACTAAGAAAGTGGGTTACTTAATTGATATGTATACCTACAACTCTATTGTCAAAAAATATTACAATATGCGTAGGATTAATTTATCGAGAAATAAACTCCGCAGCATATTTAAAAGCAGAATATGGAAATATTTTTTAAAAATTCCTATAAAATAAAAATTGAACAAAAAAACAATAACAAGTTTCACTTTCTATCAAATAGGAAAACAGTCTATTTTGGGTCAAACAATCAATTAAAAGTATTTGATACACGTTTCCTCTAAGGCAACGAGCAGAGGCTAAAGATATCGACGTATCAATTATACAGAAAATACTGAACAAAATAAAGAAATTGAACATTAAAATAGTTCAATATTTATGAACAAGAAATACACACAAAATAATTAGCATCAAACTCAAACCTACTAAATATATCAGTTTGGTGTGTCTAGTCCTAAAAAACAGGTAGTAATTATGTTATCATTGCTTCGTGTTTACTACACTTAAAATCATGTCTTGCTATCATTTTAAAAATCAGAATATCTTCCATTAAGTGATTAAATTTTAACTCTGTCATGTCAATTAACTATTTTTAAATTTCTAATCAGTCCTAGAAGTGAATTTTACAAACATAACCGACATTTTTATATTTATCTATACATTCCATATTAAAGTTTAAAAATTAAACAATTTATAAATATAATTAATCATAATATAAAATTTATCAGAAAATAATAAGTGCATTATATGTATGTTTTGAAGAAATAGTAGGCTTAATGTAGATTAAATTTATCAATTTATGCAATAAAAAAATATATCTAATCAAAGCAAAACTTACTGAATGAATATACAAAATATTAACATTAACAATTAAAATTATAGGCTTAATCTATAATACTTATTTTTTAATCAAAAAATTATCAATCACATATGTCAATTGTCAATGTGATATCTTTAGATAACAGAATTAATTGCTGAAAATATGTGATTAAGCCTCTTTAAATTATAAAAATTGTATACATACATAAAGTGATAATGCTAAATTAATAAAACTTAAAAACAGTGCTACAATTCTAGAAAATTCTGACAGCTGATGAGCTTATAATAAAATATTTGGCTTCAAATAACTGCCATTATTTGAAAATTCCTTTTTAGTGGTTAACTAGAATCCAATTTCACAATAATATTTATCAAATAAATTCTACATTTTAAATATTTCATATATATATATCTCATATAATGAAGAGAAATTATAAACAGATAAGGTACTTAGATAATGCATGTACGGTACATTGTAATTATGTTGCAGTACAGTTAAAAATTTTAAAAATTCCTTAAACCTATCGCATAAGTGCATTAATAAAATACATTACATCAAAATGCAATGCGATTAAAGCAATAATTTTGTTATATTTAACATTTTTGGAACCGAGTCCCACACAGCATTTAAATGTTTCAAATCCCAAAATTGTTACACATTAGTAAATTCTAACTTTCGGACAAAGAGAAACACTATCTCGGGAGCAGCGAACCTTTTCGAGCTGGCGTGCCATGCTTCGCTTTAGACGTTTAAAGACCGGAGGACGATTTCTCCTCGAATGCCAATTTTTTGGGCAGGCCGGCCGGAGGTTCCCCACCCCCGCTCCGTCCAAACCCGAGACAATATATAAAAACGGGTAAATTTACAAAACCAACTCGACTTTTAAACACGCTACGAACTGCAAGCCTCACACTCTTACAAATTTAATCCGTCGTCGTAAAACATCACGCAATGCAAGGCTTCTGTAGAATCTACACAAAATCTCATCCTCGACAAACGTAAACTACGATAAAAAGCATTCCGGGAAGAAACAAACAAACAGAAAGAAATTTTTAACTTGCAAATGAACAGAACCGCACAGGCACCGTCTGGAAGTTTTTCTACTCGACCCGTAAAAACCGAAGTAATCCGCAAATAATTTCAGATTCCATAACTTTCCAAAAAGCCGATCTCGGTAATCTGCAAATCGAATCCGAAGCTCCGGAAAGACTGCCGGAACGGCCGTCCGGCTAAGCGGAAGGGCGAGACCCTCGAATCCCGTAGTCCGGGCGAGAGGTAACTCCCGCCCCAGATTCCGGCAGACCCAAGAAGATTCCTCTCCGGACCGGCAGGAGAGGACGGAGAGCGGGACGAATCCCAGAGAGGCGGCTTTCCCTCCGGACGACGGAGAGGCATTTAAAATCCGAAAGGAGGTCGAAACAGAAAACAAACAAACAAAAAAACGAATACGTCTAACGGTAAAATTTTCGGCATTGGGCGTATAAATAAAATTCGGGAGAATTTCTGGGGGAGCGGGACAAAAGAAAAAAAGACAGGAGAAACCGGCATCCGTAATAACGTTATCGGTAGGCACAGGAGGCACATCGCCCGGGGCAAACGGCTGCCACATTTCTATTTCTGGTCTATTAATCTGTCATCGAATCGATTCGAATCGGTTGGAAACTTTTATCGCGGAGGAGAGACGATAATTAATTGGTCGGAGGGAAATCGAACCCGTGGCGAACGACGGGAGAAGGGAGAAGACGAAGCCGGCGAGCGGAGAGAAGGCAGATAAAAGGGGGAAGGCCGAATTGGAAGTAAAATGGTGGGAGCGGTTGGGCCAGAAGATGGTACGGCGAGCGACTTACCCGAGGATTCCTCCGACGTACTTCTTTCCTTCCACCCTCCAAGGGGTTCCGCCATATTTCTCGATCAGATGGACATTCCGATTCAAGTCGTAGGTGCTGGCGCGATTGTCTCTTTTTCTCTTGGCCCGGTTGAAGTAGGAATTGTCCGACGCGTTGGCCTCCGACTTATTGGCCGAGTTCTTGCCGTTGTCCACCTCCATCGCCCCGTTGCCGTCCAGCAATTCGTTCAGATCGACGTTTTCCAGGCCCCGTTGTGTTTCCCAAATTCTCGTCCACAGTTCCAAGGCCGGTCCGTACTGTTCGGGTTGGTACCAACCGATGGTGGGATCCATTCACACGTGCCGATACTTTTCGAACGTCGTCTCGTCGGGTAACGTCGTCGAACGCGCTCGATAACGTAGAAAAAACAAAAGAAAAGGAAACGATCGGTGCGATTTAAAAAATCCGGCGGTCGGTACAGGCGATCGTTTTCAATCCAAACCAAACTCGTCGCTCCGGGACGACCGGTCTCTCGCACCCAACATGCCTCGCCGAACACCCGGCGCGCATGCGCGCCCGACACTCCTACGCGGCAGCACCGGCTCCGACGCGCGAAGTCGTTTCCGTTTCTCCTCTTTTTCTTTCTTTTTTTAAGATTAAATCTCCGAAACCACGTCTTTTCTCTTCCGTTTCCCACCTTTCGTTTCGTCTTCCGGGTGGCGCGCTGCAAATCCTCTCCGCACCCTCCTCCGACGCCACTTTTTCCCCGTGTGACGTGCAAAAAATCCACCCTTTCTCCCAGAAACGTGTCCGTTTCCGGATTCTTAAATCGATTTCGAATCGACGACTCCTTATTCGATTACCGGTAATTAATCGATTAATAATGTAAAGTGCGTTTTAATTGATCGATTATCTTATAACTCGCTTATCGATTCGTATTTAAATTACGTAGGAAAACGATAAAAGGGTTCCGCGTTAACGTCCCAAACACCTTTCCTTCCGCTGGGTTATCGACTGTCTGAACTTATTGCAACCGAGAAACACCTATAATTTTCTTGTTCCGTGCTAAGATGTAAAATTGGTAAAGAATGTCTACAGACTGGTGTGGATTGCAATGGTTGCGGTGAGCCCTGACTGGTTTAACTTTTGTTGTTCCAATGCTGTCGAATTGCATTCTGTACAAACGTCTTCTGTTTACCAAAAGAACGAGTGAATTTTGGACTTGCGGAACCGTTTGGATTTTTTATTCTAGTTTAGGCGTTTCTACGAAATCTAATATCTACGAATGGTCTCTTAGATGGAGGTTTACATGGTGGAAAGTAATATTATCGAGCTCGTTCTTTTGATTTTTGGCAAAATTATAGGAAAGTAATGAGTGCAAACGACCGAAATCTTTCGAAACGTCGTACCGTCTGTGTCGGACGGTCTTCTTTTGTTTGTCGAGTAGTCGGACAAAAATACTTTCTTAGTGCGGACTGTCTTGTTGGGATTTAAATAAAAATTATGTACGGATGTGAGGACAAAAGTTTTTGATGTTTTCTCGAGTGGAACTTTGATTGTAATTGCCACGTGCCGCAAAAGATGCAATAACGTATGGTGCAAAATCTAATTAAAGATACGAGAAGTTTTCGTCATTTACTCGTTGTTCATTTTTGGCATTTAAAATGGAAGAATTCGTATTAAGTTTATGATACAAATAATTCTAAATCGCCCAGATAACCAAAAATTGTCAGACTTATTGCTTGATTATAAGGTTTTGAATTGATTTAGATATTTATAATTATGTATTAATATATCAAATGAAAAAATTATTTAGTTTTTGCCAGATTTTCGTAAGCTTTCCAGTTACGTAAAAGTTACATTGTTTATATAGTGGCAACTCAATGGGTTGTCTTGAACAATTTTCTAATAAATTCACATTTGGATATTTATCATCATAAGTACTTACTACAAAAATGAATAACTTATGCATAATCTTTATTAGTTGCATTAATTTTTCAGTAAATGTTTAGTAAATTGAATATTTACATAACTGAAATATTTAAACATTCATTTGCAAACTTAGTTAATGCTTTATATTTTAATTCTGAAGTAATTTTGTGACAGATTAATGCTATATTACCAATACAAGTACATAGCATTGTTACGGAATAGAAATGAATACAATGTTGGAATCCTTGGTACCCAAAAATGCATGGCATTTTGGCGAGACAAAGTTCCTGTGCACCACCAGAAATCCACGGGAAGAGAAATTAATTGAGAAAAACCATCTACAAGCATATGAAGAACTGCAAATGCATCAACCACAAGGACACTAATTGCTTCTTGATGGCATAGAAGTATCTAGCATAATAACATTCAATAAACAATACAATTCAATTCAAAATACTGTATATTTGTATTATGTGTTTTATATAATTATTTTCATTTCAGAATGTATACATTTATTTTTAAAATGTAATGTATCCTTCCTACATGTCTGAATTTACAAATTTGAATATAGGTCTGTATTTGATGTAAAAAGAAATAATATTCTATATTCCAATAGTCTATTTGTTCAGTTGTGTGATATCCTGAAGATGGCTCAATGTGTTAGAAAGAATAAACAATTTGCTGGTTAAAATTCAGTATAATAATATATATTTTTACAGAATATTATTTGTAATATCAATGGCTATTTTATTAATGAGTAGTTTTCAAAAAAACATTCAGGAATATACATTTCTATAGTCCTGAGCATTTCTTTCCTAAGTAGTTTCACTTAGAAAATATACCTTCTTTATACTTATTTATTTAACCACTCAATGCAGATTTCTGATCAATATGTGACATACAGTTGTACTCTGCTCTTTAAAAGACTAGCCAGAAGCCCACACAAATAATGATTGGGAAAGTAAGTGGGAATGTATCCGAGCATATAAATCAAATTACAATATTCAAATTTCAAGTTAAACGTCAAAACATTAGCACATCACAAACTATAAATTGTATAGAACATAGACACAGCACAAAAAATAATAATAATGTAAATTGTATTTATTAACTAAATGTGTGAGGACCTCTACCCTGCAGTCTCCACTGGTTAAGATTGAATATTTTTATCTCCTGATCAGATTAGCACCAGTTTAAGAAATATACAATAACTTAAATGTGTTTCTTGATTTTTGAGATATGATATACTTGTAGGAAAATGAGAGAATAAAAAAAAAGTAAAATTATCAAAAAAAACAGACAAATACACCAAGTTGCATTGTCTTGTGTAATTTTAATATTTTATATTGTAATAAGATTAAAAAGACATATCAAATATAATGATAAAGTAAACAAAACATTTCACCACATTAAGTAAGTACTTAGTTTAGGTCACCAACACAATAAACAATTTCAGCCAAATATGTAGCTAATCACAGTTTTCAATAACTCAATTAACAGATTAGAGTTATGCAGGAAATATTTTAAATTATATACAACAGAAATTCTTACAATAGAACAAAATAAATTCAAATACACAAAACAATTTCAACAGAATATACCATATCAGAATAAATTTCTATATCAATAGAAAGAATAAAAAAATAATTTAAAATACAAAAATAAATAAAGTAAACAATTTTAAAAAAATAAATAATAATATCCATTATGCAAATTTTGAAAATAATCTCTTACAGAAAGAAGAGAAATTAAATAAACTTGGTAAATATACCCAAGCATTGTTCACGTCATATACATCTTGCTTATTTTTTTCTTTCTATAAAAAATTGCTTTCAAAATTTACATAATGGACATTCATTATTATTATTTTTTTATAAAAATTTTATATTGAATATATTTATAAGTTTAAAAGCTTTATTTGTATTATAATTGTTTCATATATTTTAAATTTAGTTTTAAGAAATTCTACTATATATGTTTCATTCCTAATTTCAGAAATGCTTTGCAGTATCCTAGTCTTTCAGTTTAGTTGTTGGAAGCCAAGGATCTGTTTGTTTATTTATTCTTGGTTTTCAATAAAACTGTTGGCTTGCACTAAACAGTTGTTTTGTTTATTGATTTATCAAACCTGAAATTTTTACAAATGAAAAATTTTAAAAACAGTTTCTTCACTACATAAATATTGAATGCCCAAAAGCATCAGTAATTATGTCTGACAATTCCATTTACCAGTAATAATTTAACAATTTTATTAGCATGTTTCTTATAAACACAAAACTTTATTATATAAATTTGATATTGTCAAATATTTTATTTGTTTAATCAATATAATAAGAAAATCTTTGTAAAAATTGTTCAATTTTTAATATTTATTTTCATATAATAATAAAATATATTTGACAATTCTTCATTATGCTTTAGAAGAAATATAGTTTCTGTATGTGTGGTATGACCTTCAAACAAGATAGAAGAAACAAAGAGGAGATGGAAGTTGTGTGTGTGAAAATAAGCATTCATGCATTATTAACAGCTGCCTAAAGCCATTAGCCTATTACAATTATTTTTGTGCTTGTTAATAATATTTTGTGGCAACTGTACATAATAATTTAACAATGAAAGAACTATTAGTACTCCCATATACTAATTCTGTCTGGTACATAATAAAAATAGTTTATGATAACTGTAAAAGCAATATAATTATTAATTGAATTTAATAAAAGAATTATTTTTGGACAATGAATACATTTGTACTTAATTTTATGTATTTATGTTATTTGTGTATTTGTTAATTTTGTTTGTTATAAAAACCAATTACAATAATTTTTATATATAAAATAAATTCTGCTTACAAACATAGTAAATTATTACATATTATTGCATTAATTGTGAATTCAGATGATATATTGAGAATATTACAAAATACACAATTTTCTCTTTCAATTAATTGCTAGTTTGAGCTGTGCAGAAGGGATTGAAACTTTATTCTGATCAAAATGTGATTTATTTCTAATGAAAGAATATTGTCTTTGTATAACTAACCTTTTTTATAATATGCAATTGTCGACTTAACATTGAAAAGCATTGATATAACCCCACAACTCCCTTTAAATGAAAATGTAATGACAATTGGTCATTCATTGTTTCCAATTTGGGATCTTATATTTTTATAATTTATTTTCCTTACTGAACTTGTCAAAATTATTTCCATTTAAGATTACATGGCAAATTTCTTTGGTAAAATATACTTAATGTTTTTGATTTAAAACATGAAAAGTGTATTGGAACTATGATTATTATAATTTAATAGAAATCTTTGTTTAATTTGTACAATTGATTATTATATTAATACATTTACAATATAAAATTGTTGATTCACATTAACTTTTGATGGTTTGATGAAATATGACAATACAACACACAGATGATCTACCAAGAGAAATGTTTCCTGGAGAACTTTATGGGAAACATCCCCAGTATAGACATACAAAAGAAACTTGGAAAAATCCATGCGACCAGCCCATTGGTTGGGCACTATCTCACCAGCAACTACCAGTGTTTGGTAGGTTTAGAGTCATCCACTAGTGCACTTTAACCTTTGAATATTTCAGTTATATATAAAAATTTCAGCACAGAGTACATAAGTTATTTATTCTGTTTT